TTAACCCCTAAGAACTTTACTTGTAATGCAAATGGAATCACTAATCCATAAAGATGTAGTACAGGCACAGGATGAAGGCCTAGCTTTGTACAAAAGTGCACACAGTCCGTAGGGATTATGTTAATTTATTTAACAATTAAATTTTGAGTTAAAGTTCCTTTCCTGTCTTCTTCAATTCCAACTTACAACTTCCGGCTAGAACGTAATTTCAGAATCACATTTGAATGCAAATGAGGAGAAGTATTTAACCGTGAAGTTCTACTGACCTACTGAAGAGAGAACCAGTGATTCTGGCTAGCACACGTCTGCCTTTTTAGGCTACTCTCTCATAAGCTATTATTACACTCGGCCATACTTAGGCCCTTGATGGCTTCACCATTATTATTAGCTAAGGGGCCAACTCTGTTAGAATTTTGATAGCTTCGGCTATAGCTTTTTAGTTAAGATTCGTTAAGTTTAATTTCTGAGTTTCTGAGTTCAAGCCCAAGTAGAGGCTTTATCGTAAAACTCCAAGAAGGAGTTTTGTGAATTTAATTTGGAATAATAAAAGGTCTTTAACCCTTCTCAAGTTTTATTTACTGTCTCACGAATTCAAGCGATTATTTGCTGATCAGTTCTTAAGATTCTTCAACTTCAACTGTAACTTAAAAGTACAAAGCACAGAATCTTACAAGTCTTCTCTTTTGAAAACATAAATCCATATTTTTCAGACAATTTCTGGATTCTGCTAGTGGCAATCTGTAACTGTCTCTTAATATATCCTGTATCTGCACCAAGGCAGTTTCTTTGGAGGTCATCAACATACAAGGATCCTGAAACGACAGGAGGAAGTTTCCTTAGAGCAGAATTTATTTTTAAACTGAACAGTCACAATTAAAATGAAGCCTTGAGGCATACCCTTTTCTTGTTCAACAGCCAATCCTTACTTGAAACGTTCTTGCTTTTAAAAAGCTCTGAATGAAAATTGGTAGGTTGTCATGCAAGCGACTAGCATGAAGATCCTGCAAAATACCATATCTCCATGCCTTACCATAAGCATTTTTTATGTCAAAAAGACAGCAACAAAATGGTTTCTTTTAATGAAGGCTTCACAGACAGATGTTTCCAACAGGAGCATATTACCGATTCCAATCTTCCCTTTTCTGAAAATCATCTTCTGTCATCTTCCCTTTTCTAAAACTACTCTGATAGGAAAGATCCCCCCCCCAAACAATAGACTAGAAGGCAGTTTAAAATTGTTTCAAATAGTTTGCAAATACAGGTCCTTAGCATAATGGGCTGATAGTTAAGGATTCAATGACTCTTTTCCTGGCTTAGGTATGGGAATGAAAACAGCTCTCTTCCACACTCAGTTATTATAAAGGATGAGAATAGCAGTCAATGACTTACAGGGATAATGTTTCAGCATTTCCTAATTCACACCATTTAAACTCCCATTGGATGTGTCTGCATCAAACTCTTCTTAGCTCAGAAATTGTAAATTCTATATTATATGGCTCAGAGCTGAGAGAGTTGAATGAAATGAGAAATGTCACTTGACAGAAAGAAATGCTGTGAGGGGAGGGTAGTTGCTGCCACTAGAAACAGCAGCAAAATTCTCACCAATAGTATTTGCAATTTCTTCTGTTTTGCTGTTCACTCAGCCATCTTTTTTCAGAAAGGAAAGCAAGTAGTCTCTATAAAATCTGCATGCTTTGTGAACGCTTTTCTATACTTGTTTACTTGATGTAAAAAGTATTATTCCAAACACATAGGATATCCCTGAATCCCCCTGGCTTTTGCACTTAACTCTTCATGCATTTGCTGTAGCTTTTCTGCAGACAATGACAAAGTGGACATATATGAAAGTGGAGATATATGAAAGTGGATATATATATAGAGAGAGTGACATATATGAAAAACTGTCAAAACTTTTCTCTGTTGCTTCAGCATATCTTGGCATTCATCGTTCTACCATGATTTTGAATATTTGGAAGCTTTGTTGAGATTATTGGAATGCCTGAAATAATGACATCCATGACCACTTTTACAGCATCATCAATTAGCACATCTTTTACCATCTCTTCTGTATCTCTGTAAAAATGAGAAGAGTTCCCAGTCTGCCTTAAGTATAAAATGGTGGGGAGGGGATCTTGACACGGCATTTACTCCTTCTTGTGTGATAGATACAAAAATAGGAAAATTATCACTATTGTAAAGGTGATTTCCAACATTAAATGCACAAAATGGTAAAAGAAATGGCTAACACATGGCAAGATCAAGAGCATGAAAAGGCCTTGTAGGCTCATGGAAGTAGGTATCAACTCCATTATGAAAGAGACAAAGGCCATAATCTTCTATCATTTTCTCAACTTGTCTGTCTCAGGATTTCTGTCCCTATTTTCACAGAGTGGACAAGTCCTGTCATGATAAAGGGTTCAGGCAGCTGCTCTATTGGGTCATCTAAATCTTGCTATCAATATGATGATTTGGGGGCAAATAAAGAGAACAAACTGAACGTAAACTCCATATATTTATTTGGATAGCAACAGCTCAGAGGCCTGAGTTTAAAGGTATTGGATCAGGACACCCCCACTCACATGTTCACCTACATGATTATCTTTCTAGGTGAAAGAATAGTTCTGAAGCTTAGCTTCTTGCATCAATTTTAACATAGTTTCTTGAAATGCCAAGCACACAGGATGATGTAAATCAGTCATATGTTTTACATTAACAAGATTTTGGTAGAACCTGTGAAAATTCCATGAAACGAAGATGACAACTGTTCACATTTCCGGGGCTGTATGGAAGTAGGTGCCTCGGGATTCTCATTCCCTCTTCCACATCCATATCAGCTAAGGGTTCAGTTCTGAAGTTTAAAACTTCAGAACTGATACTCCCAAAGGAGCTCACACTTGGATTGCTGAGAGGTGTTGAAATTTTCTTTTCTTTATTATGCTCAATTTCGTTATCCTTTCTTTATTTGTTTTAAGGTACTTTGATTATAGTATTATGTATTGTTTTCTGTGTTTTGCAGTATGTTTTGTTCTGGCTTTTTATTTTATATGCGTACTGATTTCAAGGATTTTAAAGCATCGACATATGATATATTTTTGCGGCAGCATATCCATTATTAATTTTCTTACTTCTGCATACGAAAAATTTTTAGTACTCTTATCATCTGTACCTCCTTTTCTGATTTCCATTTAAGACATTGCCTCGAATTATGTGAGCTCCATTTGCAGTTTGCACACAGTGGATCAGCATTGCAATTTTCAGCGTCATGGCCCTTCCAAACAGCAACATGCACATGTAAGTGTCTCATGATATGACATTTTGGAATAATCAAAGTGCTGGCACTGAAAGCATTGTAAAATGGTTTGGTATGTAAGGCCTTATGGTATTAAGTGTACCCAGCCTTAATACTGTTTGGCAGATCAGACAAACTGAAGGTCAGGATTATATTTTTATGATCAACTGACTGATTATTATGTTTATGACCAACTATGTATGTTTTCTTGTAATAAATTCTTGTATATATGATATGTATATTTGTAATCTTGTTTCTTGTATATATGATCAACTGACCTTCTTTGCACATCTTGATCTATCTTGCTGCACAGACATCTTGATCAGACAACTCAGACACTACTTCCTCTTCTGAAACGAAAAGGAGGTCAACCTTTGAAATAACAACATGATAATAATTAAAGAGCTAACATGCTTATGTTGACTTATCTAAACCTTTTTAAACGTAGAAGGGTGACCAATTGGATTACAGAGGCAGTTTCATTAAGGAAATTTTCAGATCACAGCCATTTGATATTTTTTTGGTTCTTCAATAAAAGACTTGATATATTTCGGTACTAGAAATGGAGAAAGTCTTTTAAGATCAGCAGTAGAATTGTTTATTACAAGAAAATGGGGTGGACGAATTTCAGCATTAGCATTTACATTTGTGTTCAATTTTTTTTAGGACGAAACATATTTAAAGTGTTTGAGGTCATATTTGAAATAAATGAAAGATTCGGACCTGGCAGCACCACCCACCATGGAGTCCGACAAAGGCCCACAGAATCCTGCGCCAGGGTAAGAGGGTCTTACGCAATCTGAAACTCCACAATCAGCTTTTCCGAAAACTTATCCCTCAGCCACAGACCCTAAGGTTAAGTGACCAGCTGAATGACATTAGCAGGGATAGCTAAGCACCTCCCATTTAAATCTGAAGCAGAGGCCAAAGTAGTGTGTTGTGGGGACAGTACCTCGGCCATTGACTGCCTGGACCCTCCTTTCCAGCTTTAGAGGTCACAATACATAGCAAATGTGTAAGGCAGTTTTCTCTCTATGAGAACTGGAAACAGAGGAATGTAACAGAATCTCATTTTGAAACCCAACTTACAAAAAGGAAACCCATACGGTTAGATTAAATAGAAATAGTACAGATAAGGGAAGATGAAAAAGAAAGTTGGAAAAATCACTAGGACTCCAGGATGGTGACCCTCATTTCACAAAAAGGGTGATTCCTTGAAGGACTAGGGTACCTTGGGATTACTACACCCATATTCATGAATAGTGAGCTCCTGAGCGGTGGCAACATCGGATATGGAAGCCTATTTGAAGACTGTCAAGCAAAAGAAGATTTTACATTCTGTGTAAAAATTTATTTATAGAAATATTTATTTATTAATATTTATTTACATAAAGTTTATAGAAAAATACCAAAAATTGAAAATATAACATAAAACATTAAAAAATATAGATATTTTTTAATACATTTTTATTGAGAAGAAATTTCTAAACATACTTTAATACCAACATCATCAAATATTTCATTTTTATCATTATAAATACATTTAATAACTTTCAATACTACATTAATTAAAATATGAAGTGTTTTAACTACAGCCTTTATAGTCTATGTTATATCAATAAGCAGAAAAACTATAAATTGAAATAAAACTAGAACTAAAACTCAAATGCGAACTGATTAATACTTTAGAAATTTGGACATTTATATTTACTTTCTGAACTCTGATAGGAAACGCAGTAAATCTTCATCAGAAAGCTTTGTACCATCTTGTCGATACATAGGTCCAAATTCTGAACATGTGTCTAGTTCACCAGAAAAGGCCTTAAATATAGGTCTGAAATAACAGATAACACCTGTTAATTTACAGCAGGTATATAATCTAACATATAACATACATTTTTAAGATGATTTAAATTAATTCAGACAATTTCAACACATACTAAAATTTGACACATACTAAAATTTGAGAATTAAATAAAAATATAAAGCATTAAAGGAAATATTTATTAATTAGCACATGATGTAAATAGACGACACAGAAAATTTGAAAATACAGATCATAGATTAATTACAGAAGAGTATTCTCAGCAAATCAGAAAAGAAGGAAACAGAAAATCATAAAACTCAAAAAATAAGTTTAATTATTGCAGCCAATTAGAGCAAAAGCTTTTAATAGAAAATCCTTCATTTTTTTAATCCCATAGAAACAGCAATTTTTGAAAAAAATCATTCTGCACAATGTATATGTTTATACTCTTTTTTAAGCCTATAATTTCATACTTGTGATTTATCTCAATGGATCATAATTCAGTTATATCATTTAAATTTCCTATGATGTTATGTACTTAAGGTCTTGAAATACTCTTCACTTGTTTTAATGAATTTTATTACTACATACACATGCATAGAAACTGATACTTAAATATACAAAATAATATAAAAAAATATATATATACGCACCTTGCAGCCCATGCAAAAGGCATTCTGTAATGACCTAGTCTCTGACAACAAGAACGAGCAATTTTTTGTACTTTTGCACCTAAACGAATACTATTTGAACCAGACTGAGCCCGCAGATAAGGATCAGCAGCTTGAGATATTCCTCCTTGAAGAACTTTCTCAATTTTTAGAACAAAATATAGCTCAGACTCAGGATGCTGGACAGTAAAAATTGCCTTAAAAGAGGGAAAAAAAATTAAAAACAGAAAATTTACAAGACTACATTTATAAAAAAAGTAGAAATACAAATAATAAAATTAGTCATTGAAATGCTAAAAAATATGTTACGTTCAAATGTAGTTTAACAGCCACAGAATCACTAAAATAGTTCTGATTTCTTTTACAATGTCTATTAATAAAGCCAGATATATATATATATAAGGCCAGAAATATCTGACATTAATATTTTACCTCCAACTTCTGGGGTGTGGGGGCAAGATGTTGAATTAAGTTTGGATTAATGATATATGCCATTCAGAAGACTATATAAGTATTTTATTACCACAGACACATACATGAACATGCTCCTTTAAATTTATGACTAGCAAAATACGAACTTAATCGTTCAATGCAATGCCAGAAGAGGAACATCAAAGTATGAAACACTTATATTTTCACATATTTCAGTGTACTATTAAAATGTCACAAAGTAAATTGTGAGATACTCATGGCAGTTACATTTAATGATGCAGGCAAGTCATAATTTTCAATGTTCACCTAAAATACACAGCTCCAGTCAGCCACTATTATTGAGTCCACGGATACCAGTTAAGATTCATAAGTTGTATTTTCAAGAGTAAGCACCAAAATTTGAAGTGCTTGTAAGGTATATCCTTATTTTATAACAGTTATTTTAAGTTTATATGACTTTCCTATCTCTTCTAGCTTCAGCTTACAATTCCTTACTAGAATGAGATTTTAGAATCACGTTAAATACAAATGAGAAGGAGAAAGTATTTAAGTCAAAGTTCCATTGGCTTTAGAGAGAGAGTTAGGATTCTTAAAGAGCATGCATTTGCCTTTTGACTATGTCTCTCCAACTGCTACTACGCTCGGCTGTATTATGTGCCTTTTGTTAGCTTCTCTCGTTAGTTTAATATTATGGGCCAACTAGGTTAGAATTGTGTTAGGCTAAATCTCTTTAGTTAGTCATTAGTTAGTTCTTATTTCTTACATTTTAAGTTAAGCTCAAGCGGAGGCTTGTTGTATACCCTGAGAAAGGGGCCGATTGTGTTTTTAAGTTAAGCTTAAGCGGAGGCTTGTTGTATGCCCTGAGAAAGGGGCTGATTGTGTATCTTTATTTAGAGCAAATAAAGGCTAGTTAACCCTTCTTGAGTTAACGTTTTTGTTCTTGGACTTGAGCGAATAATTGCTTACTTCACTAGGTTCCTCAACACTTAGTTAATAGATAAAAGAGAGTAACATTACATTGGCACCCAAAGCATTTTGACGAACCATGTTGATAGAAAACGGAAAATTTACGTTGACCCCTCCTACCTTTCAAATCCCTCAGCCCCTAGAAAATCCTATGCAGAGATTCATTTTCATCATAGAAACCATATGAGCAGCTATGAAGTCCACCACGACATTTGATGGCAAAGGTTCCATGATGACCTTCTTAGAGCAGCTGGACCTGCATTTCACATTATATCCCGTAAACCAGCTGCAGAAAGTTATAATTGCTGTGACTAACCTAAAAGGCCAGGCTCTGAGTTGGTTTAAGGGCAATGGAAAATTCCTGTTGGGGGATTCAGGTTCCGAAACTTATACATGGGAAAATCTGAAAACCGCGCAATTAAAAGCGTTTCCTGTAGTCAAAGACCGAGTGAAGCTGCAGGCAGAGCTTTTTAGTAAATATCAGATGAATACCAAAGATTTGACTGTATCTTGAGAAAGATATAAGTATTAAATTTATTGTATGGAAAGAGGCCGGATAGCGAATTAATTTAAGTGGTTTTGCCGCATCTACTTCCATCAATTCAAGATTTCCTGGAAGTAAGAAATCCACAGATGCTAGAAAACCTATTTCAGCTTGCCATGAAATTCCAGAGTGAATGAGCTGCTGAAAACACATGTTCAGAAACTTTCACCAGTATTTGGGGTTTTTACATCAACAGAAACCTCAAAGCAAACAGCAAACTTATTGGCAAACGAGGATGATTGAAAAAGACAATAACAAGAAGACGGGTCAGTCAAAAGCATTTGCAGATCGCAATAAGAAGCAGCAGGAAGGACGGGAATAAAGGATTTAAACTGATCAGGGTAGCTAAGAAGTGGGCCCAGTACACCCTGGGAAGAAAAGTCCCTCAAAAATTAAATATGGTAGTTGTATAAAATTTATCATTATTGGAAATTCATATGACTGTTTAAACAGAAGGTTATTGCCGCCCAAGGGAAACAGTTTGTCTGCATTTGAAAAGTAAGACTGCACGTGCAAATAAAGAATGAGACACAAAAAGTGAATTTTCTGGTAGTGAAGGACTTATTAACTTATTCTGGGGATTGACTTTTTACGAGCAGCAAGGGCGAAATTAAATTTTAAGAACTCTACCTTACAGGTTCAGATGGATGCTGTAGAGGAAGAGGGGCCATTCTAGACATAGACTTGAACCACCTACAAGAAGAGGAGGAAACTAAATGGAAAATGTGTCAAGAAATTTTTGTAAACAGTTTAATGAGAAGCCAGGTTTCTGCCAGGTTGTACAGCATGAAATCAATACATGAAATGCCCCCCCCCAAATCCAGTCTTAGCCGTATAGGTATGACCAGAAATCCTCGAACAGCATATTAAACAGATGCTGGCAAATAAATAATTGTTCCAAGTAGCAGCCCCTAAGCAAGCCCGGTAGTTTTATGTAGGAAGAAAAACAGCCTCTCACCATCAGATCCGAATCCATGGAGATTCGCTGTTGATTACCATAAATTAAATAATATAATGAAATATCCCACGTATCCCCTGCCGATAATTGCTGAGATAATCAGCAAAATCCAATCTACTAAATATATGACTATGCTAGACCTGAAGTCAGGATATATTCAAATTATGGTAAAATCTGAGGATGTTGAGAAAACAGCTTTTATAACAAAGCCATTTGTCTTCATGGGCGTAGCCAGCTCAAATTATGGGCGGGGGGGCGGCGCCCATTACGACTCCTATGGCTACTATACTGTTTTGCATATTATAACATCTTCCAAGTATATAGGCGATTATTTCATGACAAATATATTATGTTAATGGCAGTTATCTTAATACAAATAATAATTATATTATGCATTTTATTAATAATAAAATTATGTAACATAATTAAGGATATATTGCATTTCATTTGCATATTTATAATTGTTACTTTACAAACATACTGAATGGGTAATTCAATATTTTTGTTTTTCAATTATTTAAAAATTATTATTAAAATATTAACATAATTTTCAAATTCATCTTTCTTTGTTTCATAATACAACTATAATAAAGATAAATAAATACATAAAATCCATATTAATTTTGCATATAATTATATAACAAAGATATTGAATTAAATGCATAAAAGCTGTAAATACATCATTTATTTTGGACATGAAATTAAACCGCAAATATATATATACTTTTTTAAAGGCAAACAGTTTTCTGGCCTTTCATTTCTGTTCGGCAATTAAAATATTTATGAGTTCCATTTTCCGTGGCTGTAAATTGGAGAATATATCAATAATTTTGTCAATTGCTATTTCTTTGGTATAATGAATGTGCATTAATGCCAAAAAAATTTCTGTGCTCTTCTGTTATAGTAGTGCTATTATAATTTTCTAATTTTTTCAAAGCACTTGCAGAACGTTCACATTCGCAAGATGTTATCGGCAGTGTAGCTTCTATGTGCAAGCACATCAATATTTGGTAAAAAGATTTTATTTGAAGCTTTTAAAGCCAAAACTGGCGTGTCTGGGAGCTTTGCTTTGGGGATAGACATAAAATGTCGTCGCCAACGTTTCGTCTCTTCGATTAGAAATTCCAGAGAGGGTAAATCATCTTTATATGTATTATAAAACTTCAACTTATTTACCACAATTTCATGTACACGATCAGCACAAACTGATGGCTGTATGCAAAACAGGGAAGATGCAGTCTTTTCTAAATTTGAAAATTGAGATTTTAAATGGAAAATGAGACAGTCAAGTAAAGGGATTGCTAAAATAGTTTTATAATAATGAAACACAGAATCACAATCAGCATTATTTCGACAAGCTTGCTTTCGAATGATGCGTAGCAGTTTAAACTCTACATCTAATTTTTTACATATTTGCCCATCATGATCAAATATACTCTTAAAACTTCAGGTCGTCCCTGAAGTTTAACTGTAATTCCTTCTAAATGAGATAGATAATGATATGTTGTTATGAATATTACAATGAAAGTAAATGAAATGATTGAATTCAGCAGAACCACCATAGCGTCTGGCTTACATTGCGCACTCCATTGATTATACACATAAGCATCTAGTTTGGTTGAGCACACAATATGCTCTAGGTATTCAGTTACATCGAAAAAACTTTAATAAAAATGCTAGTACGCCTTATACTGCATGATTCATCTTGTCCGGCAAAGGTCTAATATTATTTTCGCTGACCTAAATCATATGAGGAAATTTGACCATATGGGTTTAATGTAACCAAAAATGCAAATTTATTAGCCACCAAAACATAAGACACTATACGGTACAAATAGACTTATATTAAAACTTAGCCATTTAATAATATTACACAGAAGAACAAATATAACAGAATAGGAATAATACTGAAAACACAGTTTAAAATTTAGCGTATAACAGATAGAATTCAGAATTTCTTTCTATATAAGTAATAATATTTTTAATTTAAAACAATAATTTGAATTTAAACAAAGATGGATTTCAGGCAGTGCTTTATCTGCGAGATAAGAGTTAACGATTGCTAAGCTACAGAAAGCGATTTTGGGCTTTTTATATTACTGAGGAATTTACAGTTTTTCTGTGTTCTTCATTTAAACAGTTTATTGGAATTTATTATTTGAATATAAAATTTAATTATTCAACTATTTTATCTGTGTAAAATTTGAACGCATTAAATACCGTGAGTCTTTTTTTTAAAACGACAATCTTTTTATTGCAGACAATTTTGAACTGCTAAGTAAATAGTCGCCATTCTCAGAAATACCGATCACTTTTATAGATGGTCTTCTAAGGAAGATGGTCATCATAAGAGGATTCCTTGTATTTAATTTGTTTCTAAAATGGAAAAGGGAACATATATTTTCCCCTTGATAAATAATATTCGAAATATTCGAATATGTGGATATATAGCTGAAAATAATAATGATATCTCACAAAAAATGATTGCTTTTTGTTACTTTTTATTATTTTATTTTTATGTCATTGAATTATCATTTAAGTATAAAATTACTTGTAAACTTTTATTTTAATTCTGAGTTTATGGATTAGAATTTTATGAAAGCTTCACTAACACTTTATATAACACTTTAGATATGATCAATCACATTTAAACTTTTTCATAATTTCATAAGTCAAATTGCATATCGATTTGGTCTTTTTAATTAACAGAAGCAGTACAGTTCAACTTATTTACAGCTGATTCTTCAATGTAAAAGAGTTATAAAGAGGCCTTTCTTTGTATTTTTTCTCCTGCCAGTAATTCAATGATTCTCAAATTTATTAGAATTTTTAATACAACATAAGAGATTAAACATTTCAATTTTTGGATATAGGAGCAAGGAATGTCATAGCATTTAGGATAAATTATAATTAGTATTTCATATATGCTTGCTACTGCTTGTTTAAGTCAGTACGGAAAAAGCATACAAAGGTTATCTGTCTATGGGAAGGGATGCTATTACATTCATGGAGGACTTTTAAAGGGAAACTTGTTTGTTTACCTTACACACAAGGAAAACCATAAACGCTCGTTCAGCTAGTTCCTTGATATTCTAACCTATGTCGAACTAGCACCGTTCATCAATCTTATACATCCTGCCCACTAATGGGCTATATGCTTTTTTATTCCATTTAAATTCTCTTAATTTATACTTCCTTTTAATCGGTAATTATCTGATTATTTGTTCCAAACACAAATACACTCAAAATAAATAATTTTATATTACACCCAAAGGGGTGTTTTTTAACGTTTTGAGTGTTACTTTTATTTATTAAATATCATGTTCTCCGCACTTAAACCATAAAATTCAATTCAACAGCAATACCACAGAATAAACTAAAAAGAGATATATTTAAAATTTCTGATATAGTCTTACGTGCTGGAGATTAAAATGTTGTTTTTTTTGTACAGTGTTGCCATTGCTCGCTTTGAAATCGATGAGTTTGTTAATAAAAAATTCATTAAAGTTTTGCAAAATATGAAATAGTTAATAAAGCAAATTCTAAACTCTAAATTTGAGCTTCCAGATGCCTATATTCAAGTGAAGGACTATGTTATTCAAAGTTTGATGTCTCTAGTTACCGTTGTTTTATCACAGTGCTAGAAACATACATACATTCATGCAGATTCTTTATTATTTAATGTCTTTAAATATAATACAGGGTTCTAATATTTGGTGGCAACAATTAGAAAAGTGAAATGCTGTTTATAGTGAGCCAAAGCAAAATGCCAAAACAAAATTAATAGCCCTTCTGGGCAACTTGACCCTTTGGGCTAATAGTAAAATAAAATAAATTACTTGTCAGTGAATGAATTTTTTATCTGCGTATTTTACAATTACCCTATTAGATAATTTTAAATTACTAGATGACTAACCCTATTAGATCATTTTAAATAACAATAATTTAAATTGCTAGATGACTAACCCTATTAGATCATTTTAAATAACAATAATTTAAATTGCTGGATGACTAAGAAAATAAAATTCATTGCATTGAATTTGGCACCCTCTTTACATTATTCCCCCCTCCCCCAAAAAAGCTTAATATTTTTGCTATATTTATTGACTTAACTGAAATTTGAAATTAATGTGAAAAACAAACACTCAAAATTATTTTACTGTGTTTCCTTCCCTCTTTTTTGCAATATTTAGATAATAAGTAGCAAATCTCAAAATTAAATAACCCAACTTATTTTTTTTAAATACTTATTTTCTTTTAAATATTATGCTTTTAGATGCTTGGTCCGAAAAGAAAGGACTTTTTCTTCTCTAGTGACATTAGGCTTGATAGCTAGAGGGAAAGTGGGAACGGATACGGAGGGCTATTCAAAGCTGTAAAAGAACAAAAGCTTTACGACTTGAAAGTGTCCGCTAACCTTCGAAGTATTTTCCCACTGCTTGTTATCTGAGAAAGGATGATTTTTTCTGATCTTACTTCTAAATGGAAAATCGTAGACATTCCGTTCATTTTTTGTTAATCACAGGAATTTTTTGGGAAGCTGGAAAGCAATATTTAAACACTTATGTCTTATCTATTGAAGATTAATTAGCACTTTTTTTAAATATAGGTAGTGGTGAAGTGGGAGGGTGCCCGAGCGCCCAGGGCACACCCCCTGGCTACATGCCTGGGCTTAAGCGGAGCTCCGGCTACATTCCAAAAAGTTATGGATATCGTATGAAAACCCGTCTTAGGCAAAAGTACATTTATTTACTGTGATGATATAATAATACTACCTGCTTCTGATTTTAATAAATAATAGGTTTAAAATACACACTTAAAACTGGATTACATTTATTGAAGTGAATGTTGCATTATGTATATGTGATTATTAGGTACATAATTTAAATGTGAAAGAATAAAACTATTACCTGTCTAGGAAATGCTAACCACTCTTCTCCAATGTCTTTAAGATGAGGATTTGGAAACTGTGTATCACCGTTACAATGAGAAATTGTCTGATTAAGAGGCATGCTGCTTTTTCTTCCTTTCTTAGGAAGTATATTTCGAATGTATGGATGATTAACATCAAACCGAAAATCTTCACTAACCTTCTTATTTCGCTTGGCATCATATATTGATAATGTTGTTATATAAGGTTCAACCTAAAATCATAAATCATACAAAGAAAATCACATAAAATAAATGCAAAACAGAAAATGAATTATATATCAAACAACTAAACATTCAACAATACATAAGAATTAAATATAATAAGAATTCTGGGATATTTAAAAGAGATTTAATTTTAAAATATGGTTACAATGATATTATGTAAGATTAACATATATAATTTATCATTATTCTTCACAATGCACAGTATTTAAAATATATTTTTGAAAATAGTACACTGTTATGATATTTAACGCATGTACTTCAATTTGAAATCACCGCTCTGATTGGTACAGTGGGAAATGGTGTTGGTTGCCCCACTCTTGGGTATGCTTCAAATTCTAGAGATGCTTTCGTTGTTTGTAAATGGTGTCTGAGCAGCATGAGGGCATTTAAAATAGTGATGAGCTAAAAATCATCTCAAAAGTTTAGTGGTAAAAGAAAAGGGTTAAGAGATCTTTGGATCTGTAACCTGGGTTGTTCTTCATCATATATTGATATCATATATATATTCGTCATTAAATGGAACATAGCTTCCCCTTTGACATGGATGTAATTTGGTTACTTCTGTGCTGCACCCTGGACAACATTCTCACTGATTGAACAGCTAAATAATCAATAGCTATTGGCCATTTTCGATGAATGCATTTAGTCCAGTCATTAGGAACAACAACAATAATTTGAAATGACTATGCACAGATGAAATTTTTTCCAGTCATATGAATGTAGCTTTTTCATATATCTAAATATAAAATTCATAATGATCACAGCAGAAATCACTTAAGTATTTAAGTAAGTATCTTTAAATGAAGCCACTACATAGATGCATTATGTTGTTAAATACAATTCAGAGCTCACCACTTATTACATTCATTGGTTAATAAACTCACCTGCTTAATGCATTCAAATTTTGAGGAGCCGAAACAAATACATACTAATCAATAGAAAAACTGCTTTTTATTAATCCTTTATTTGGCACAGTAGCTCAAATGTAACATGCGTTTTCATCAGCTCATATGGGAGATTTGCCAATTACAGGGTTAAACTCATCTCCACCATTTATAAAACTCCGATTGGCAAAAGACTGATTTTTCAAGGTTAAAATATCCTACTTGTACCTATCAAAGCTTTCTGTGATTCCTCCATTTAATGTATTGTGGACCATGACTTTATAGTTCAAGTATATAGTGTTTCGGTAATATGGGTTTTCCTATTTCTGTCCCTGTACTTATGAGAGATTTCAGAATTCTTTCTCCACATTGGACTTCAAAGGGCCAATTTTCCTTATCTTAAGATTAACGGGAAAAAAAATCCCTAAAGGCATTATAAATGAATGAGAATTCTTTTTCCAAAAGCAACTGACAGGAGGTGGAAGTTTGTATCCTATCTTTTAAGATTTCCACCATCAAAATCCTCTGCTTACGATAGATGCATTATGTTCATAGAGAGTAAAAAAAGTTCATGAAATGCTTCTAAGCAGTACTGTACATCAGGAGCTGTTGAATGGAAAGGAAGTTGAAACAAAGAAAAAGCAAGGAAAGCATTGATCATAGTTGTTAATCATGAAGTGGCAAATCAACTAAACAGACAAAAGAAAAATTTTCTACTGGACAGAAGTGTTAATTTGAAAGTCTGAATAAATGACTAGAAGAAGTAAAGTACAAAGTCCCTAATCCGGACTCTTCGGGACTTAGGCGATTCCGGATTATCGGTTTTTCCGGATTATAGATCATCAGTTTTAATTTGGTAAGATGGCATGCAGAAATTATAAAATTAAAAACATGAAACTGTAATTTATGACATAAAGAGCAATTATGATCTAAAGGGTATCAAAATTAAAAAAAAAAGGCTTAATATTTATTTGTTTACTTTATTAAAAATTCTTTTTAAACACGTGCATGCGTAAAGCATACATTACGCATAGTCGAAATTAGAAAATTGCAACCAGAAAACTATTTGATGTGTATTCGTGATATTTATAATGACGAGGAATTTGATTTAAATCATATCAAAGACGGAACACATCGAAATGAAATACTACATTTAGTAAGGAATTATAAGCCGAATAAAAACATATGCCCTGAAGATAAGGATAGTGCTGACAGATCAACTTCCAGTTCATTGCGCGCCGTGTCTCCCCCCCCCACAAAGCAGCGTGAAATTGATAAACAGATTTCGGAATGGTTAGAGAAACAAAGGATATGCCTTTATCCATTTTTTGCAGCAATTCCACTTTTTGTTTGATGGACATCGAAACATGCTTTCGCTTTGTAGATCCTTTGGTAGCTCCAGAATCAGGAATTCTTTTTGACATAATTAAAAGTTCAAGCTTACTTTTATAAAATTGCTCTAACAGTCTGCAAAAAATAATAAGACGGATCCAATAAGAAGATTAAGGAACAACGCAATCTGCAACATTAACTGAAATAGATAATTTTAGCTTAGCTTATACCGTCCGTTATACATTAAAAGCGCATGCATAAACATATTATGCGCATGCATAAATGCATATGTGCATGCGTAAAGGTATTACGTGCATGCATAAATGCATTACTCGTTTATGCATGAGCAGAAAGTTTTGTAGCTTTGAGGTCCGGATTATAGATCATTCCGGACGGATTATGGACGTCCGTATTAAAGACTTTTGACTGTATTTTAAAAACTGAAAATTTCTCTGCAAAAGAACTTCTTGCCTGTGGAATCCTCATGAAAGGTTTTCATCAAAGTTATTTTAAATAACAGATTATAAAAATAAATCAACTAAAATGTTTTAACCAAGAATAATTGATATTGCTCATAAAAACTATAAATATATATTTATGATAAGTAAAACAAACAAGATTTTTTGTTTACCTGACAAAGAGGACCTTTCTCATTGTCTAGGGGAGCTTGCAGTTTAAAACTTATTTCTTCACATTTCACAAATATCCGAGTTCCAAATTCTTCTTTAAATGGTTTCACTTCTTTCTCAAAATCATATATATGGGCAGTATGATTCATTCTCTAAAAAGTGAAATCTCATTACAGCAAACAAATGATTAATCAATTCAAGTTAAGGAAAATATATTGAAATAGTATATTTACCTGCATATCTGGATATATAGCAAAAAGATTCTGGCGGTTTTCTTTTCTTGCTAAGGCAATAGAGTAATCTGTTTCTCTAGCATACTTTATGCAAGAAGAAGAGGGAAAAATTATATGAGTAAGCTTTATATAAATAAAATTGATTATGTAATATACAGGGTCTATCCAAAAAGAAATGAGGCTGATTCTGGTAAAAATGTTTTATTATCAGTAGGTTCAAACACATTTAATATTCTTCAAAGGAAGGCTCTTCAACATCAGTGCAGTGACTCTATTGTAAATGTCACTGTTCACAGCAGTGTAGGAAGTTTTGGTCCAAACTACCTTACAGAGGACATGTTACAGCAGCTTAAACCTGACAATTTTCCCAAAACAGTGTCTTTTCAGGCTGAGCTTCAGGAATGTAAAGAAGTCAGAAAGTCAGGATAATCTATTGTGTGTATTAAAAGTTACAACAAATCACCACATGATTTTCCTTGTGTTTATCAGTCAAAATCTTATGAATTAAATTTGGAGACAGAATTAAGAGTTTATAAGAATGGGTTAATGAAAGCTAATTTAGTCTGATGATAATCAGAATGCTTTCTGTATTTCATCCAACATCACATTTAAGAATGTATTTAGTCTCAGAGAAACTTTTCAATTGTTCAAATCTTTTAGAATAATATATGATATGACATATGTCTGATTTTGGAAGGATGAACATCATACTTCTTATTAACCTTAACGGTAGTCAGCATTCAACACAAACTTTGTTTAAGGCACATTTTCGGGAATCTTGATATTCTTACGCACAGAATGTTGTTTCCTTTGTGCTTTCTCTATTTTCATACCACTTGTACATTTGACAAAATCTCATCCCTACAGATTTCTCTTAACAGTGTTAGCATACTGGTAACAGATTTATCCAGCTTGAAGTAAAATTTTATAGCATACCACTACTCTAAACTCCACTGCATTTTTCACTGTGATGTGACAATAAAACATCTTTCACCCTGCCAGCAATCCAAATGTCTGTAATGGCACACAAGCAAATGAGTTGGGTCTGAGTGTGGCTCCAATTCCCTAGATTATACCTCCAATCCCTCATGAATGGCACAGAACTGCTCATCTCATTTCTTTTCAAACAGATATTTTTTAAAGTTTATACTGATAATTATCAATAATTACAAGTAACTACACAGAACGAAAAAACACTTGTTTGATATTGTTAAAATGATATGGATGTTTATACAGTGCCTACATTAATGCCATAAATATAAAATGGGACCATAAATATAAAATGGGAAGTAGTGCTTCAGATAAAGTTTATTTTTTTAATAATGTAGTCCAATTAAATAGTCAATTAGTCAGTGAAATAATTTCTATTAAATTTAAAAACTATAACTTCATGTACTGATTTCTAATCCACTGCTTTACTAATTTTTTTAATTGTTATACGAGGGGTAATCCAAAAAAAAGTTTACAAGGCAAATGAAAAAGTATTTATTAACGATAGAAACAAGATACAAATGGGAATCAAGAGACACATCTGGCTTTCACTTTTCCACATAGTCGCCAAACCTGTTTAGGCATTTGTCAGAACGTTCGACCAACTTGTTTATCCCGTCTTGGTAGTAATCAAGGCCCTGCTCATTGAGCCCTTTCTCAGCAGCTGTTTTCACTGCATTGTCTGAGGTGAACCATGTTCTGGATAAGTATTGCTTCAATGCTGGAAAAATGAAATAGTCACTTGGAGCCAAATCGGGGTGTAGGGGGGGGTGATTCCAGACAGACTCCCACTTGAAACCTTTGCAGCAATTCCTGAGTCTGGCGAGCTGTATGGGGGCCTAGCATTGTCATGCAAAAGAATGATGCCTTTGCTCAGTAATCCTGGCTGTTTGCATCGGATGGCTTTACGCAATTTCATTAAGGTGGCACAATAACGATCGGCCTTAATGGTATGGCCACGCTCCAAATACTCGATTAGGATAACACCAGTCGTATCCCAGAAAACAGTTGCCATCACTTTACCGGCAGAGGGTTAAACTTCTTCCTCGTCGGTGATCCAGCCTGTTTCCACTCCATCGTGGGGGTAAAGTGATGAAGCCATGTTTCATCAATGGTAATGATGCGATCAATGAAGTTTTGGCCGTCTGAATGGTATCGCTGAAGAAATGTGAGGCTGGAAATCATTCGAGTGGCCTTATGCTCTGCGGACAACGCACGTGGAACCAAGCGGGCACAAACTTTGGAATATCGCAACTCATCGGTTATGATACACTGAACATTACCATAACTCAAGTCCAACTCTGAGGCAATCTCACGCACGGTTACTCGTCGATCCCCTTGGATGTTTTCTTCAACACGTGCCGTGTTGATATCCGTCCTTGAAGAACTTGGACGGCCGATTGCTTCCATATTGCGGTTTTCCACATGCTCCCTGCCCGCTTGATAAAAAAGACACCATTTCGCTACCTGTTGTCTACTCATTGCTTTGCTCCATATACCTCAACGATTTGTCTGTGAATTTCAGATGCGGCCAAATTCTTGGCCCATAAGAATCGAATTATGGCTCGTACCTCTATGCAAAACCACTTTTATAGACGTCGTGCCAATACTGTCGCTCTTAAGTGTCTGCGTACTGACGCTACTTACTCGTAGAACCGCTGTAGGACTAGAGCCATCTGTCAACCACCCTGGGTGGAAATATTCGCTCCACAATTATTACGTTTCAAATGCTTCTGCTTGTAAACTTTTTTTTGGATCAACCTACGTATATATATACACTGGTTATCATAAATTAAGGAAAAATTACAAAAATCACGATTACTGAAAACTTTACATATAAAATTTTATGATGATGTTGGTGTATTTAATTATGGCAAAGCACACGAGGGCTATCTGCCTAAAGGGAGGGATGCCTTTCGTGGAGGACTTTCTAAGGGAAAAACTGGCTCGTATACATGTTACACATGGGAAAACCACGAAAACGCCATGCAGCCAGCCGTTCATGGGATTCGAACCTAAGACCGAACTACCAGTGTTCAGGTCTTTACCACTCGGCGCTGGTGGGCTAGAATTTTATGAAACTACCCACATGTACAACACATAGTAAGGTATTAAATAACAAAAAGAATTACCAGACAATTATGGTGGTATAGTATAAAATGAACAAATCTAAGATGTCAGTTTGCTATAGAAAAGACTTCATTAATTGCCTCAGCATACCACACAACCCATTGTTGCTTTCATATGCGGTCTATCAGTTCCATAGGAAGCAGAACCATTGCTCTTGCAAATCAGTTGCAAGCGTGGCAATGGTCTGAGGGGGCGGATTGAGAGCAGCTAGATGTCTCCCTAAAGCATCCCAAACGTGTTCGATAGTATTCAAGTCCAGGTATCGAGCTGGCCACTCCATGCGTATAATTGCTTCCTGTTATAGATAATCATCTACAATGTGAGCCCTGTGTGGTCTTGCATTGTCGCCCTGTAATAGGAAAGCATCACCTATTGCCCTGGCATATGGGCGCATATAAGCATTAAGGATGTCATCTCTATAAACCTGAGCATTCATGGTCCCCCTTAGAAAGACATGGAGGTCTGTGCGTCCACTCAAAGAGATGCCACCCCAAACACAGACACTGCCTCTTCCATATGCATCTCTTTCACGGATGTTCAACAGATAACAACGGGTTACAGGTTCTCTCCATATCAAATAACACTTACTATCGCTTTCTAGACTAAACCTGGATTTTTCCGTTAAGAGAACAGACCTCTATTGATCAGGCGTCCAGTGGACATGTTGTCGTGTCCACTGCAAATGGTCTCTCCTATGGCATGACATGAGCGGCACGCAAATGGCTGGTCACCTTGCATACAGACAACCTTCGTGAAGTCTTCTACGCACAGTTGACATTGACACCGAACTTCAAGTGGCTGCAGCAAGGGACGATCTAAGAAGAGTCGTAGTAGCGGTTCTATTCCTGTGTGCACATAATATCAAATATCAGTCATCGGCCCTCGTTGTAGCAGTTGGCCGTCCATGGCTGAACTCCTAGGTGCCAAATCTGTGGTTTGAAACTGCCTCCAAAGTCTGTGAACCACAGAAGACTCACATTTAGACATCTGGCCACTTCTGTTTGACTTTGTCCTGTCTCTAGTCTCCCAATGATGGCTCTCTATCATAGTTCTGCGGCAAATGTGCCTGGAGGTCATTGTACGATTGGCTATCTCAGATTTCTGATGTCATGATAACAGTGAAATATGTGGGCTTGCTCTCAAACATGGACTCTTATACTCCTCGCAGATGACGTATTCCGAGTGCAGCGCCACTAATTTGCATATTGCAGCTTTACTCAACTACTCTTACCTAGCAACATATTCAAATTTTACACGATTTGGCTTATTTTTGAGGGAGTTATCGTTATTTCTGTGGTTTTCCCTTATTTCATTATACAGCAAGAATAACTCTTTTATAAACAGCAGCAAAAGACATTAATTTTCCCTAGAGATTTATAAATGGTATTAATAAAAAAAATTAGAATTAATAATAAATGCTACTTACTTTTGCTAATTCAGGATTCTTACTATGCTCCAGTCCTTTTAAAGTACCATACCCACAGGGTGAAGGGAGAAGAACATTAGACATATTATCTCCTAAAAAGAGTATAAGACATTATGGTTAAATAGATTATTAACTAATAATACAATTAAATAGATTATTAATAAACAGGATCAACAGCTATGCAAAAAATATTAAATACCATTAACAGCAATTTAAGTGCAGTATAAGCTCCGTATTAAAAAAAAAGGCAGAAAAACATAATTTACAAAGATCGCAAGTTTTTTCATTAACACATTGACTGCCAGTCACCAGAGTTAGATTGATAGTTATTGCCACCCATATGGAAGTAAATTGTATCCATATGCCAACATACTTATTATAAGAAATATGTTCAAAATATTAATAAAAGATAATTATGTGATACCTAAGTATTATTTAAGCCTTTTATTAAAAAATTTTTTAATTACGTGCCAGCGCGTGATTGGCACTACATGTCAAAATTTTCCGCAAATGCCACATCACGCTCTGGCGCTCAATATGTATTACAGACAATTATACATATTACAAAGGAATTTATAACAAGAAAATTACAAAGACATTATTTGAAAAGATACATCTAGAATGTTATTTGTATAGTATTATCTTTGAACAATCTAAGCAGTACCCGGGAGATACTTCACAAAATTTGCAAACTTATGTTGTATCTTTATGTTTCCCTTGGGAATAGCAACTTTGGCTTTCTTAGAATTTTTCTGTCTTTTTTTTTCTTCCTGTGTACTCAGCAGATGTTCAGATTCAGACTGATCACATACAGGAGCACGAAGAACAGATGGCTGTTTCAGTAAACTTAGTATCACGGATAAACGGTAGTCATACAGTGATGTGTTTTCATTGGAATACTTATTATATATAAAACGGGAATTGGTCATCATTATTTGCAAAATATGTACAAATATTTTCATGGGCCACCTAATTCTTTTTCTCTCACAAGGATAATAAGCAAGCATTTGATTTTGCTTATCAATACCGGCCATAAATTTATTATATTGAATTACAGGTAGAGATTTCAATTTAATTTCAACTCTTTTGTTTGCTATTTCTGCCATATTTTTACATTCATTGGAAATGTAAGTGACGTCTCTCTTATCCTGCCACTTTGCAATCATCACACCATTAGCATACTTTGCTACAGTTCACCCTTTCAGTTTTTTTTTTTTTTTTATTTACTTTTTCGGAAATGTCTTTTGTCCTTTAATGTCCCAGGCAATGAGTTTCCTATCACAAACATTTTGCAGTTCTAGCTGTTATATAATTGTCCATAAATATGCTATGTCCTACATCAGCCCTGCCTAAATCATAACGCTTTTTGTGATCTTTCACCAGAATCTACATGCACAGCCTGATATACTATAAATTCAGAACATATCATAAGGTTTGATCATGTACAATTTGCTAACCATATTGTGACATGTATTTGGAAAGTCTGATAGAAGCCGTTTCATGCCACAACCCATCGATTCATCTAAAAATCTCACACCCTGGGAAATACAGATACCCGAATGTGGAACAAATTCACTATCTTTCTTTATACAGCGATCCTTGGAAGCGCTCTTTGATCGGGGATTTTGCGAAGTGCAATGCCCTCAGTAACAACAAAAACAGATTCCTGCTCATATTTTCTGAAAATGCACGCAAATCAAACAGTGATTCTGTTTTCCTTTAATCCTGTATACAGTTGATTCGTATAGTTCTCATATGTATGCTCAATCCCACAAATACCAAGAGTTCCTCTTTGGTTGTGTCCTTCCAAGCAGTGATGCGAGAATGTTTCTTTTTTTCATAGCGAAAAAGTACTTTCTGAGCATAATCATTCAATAAATTTGCTATTTCCTCATCCGTAAGAGCCTTTTTATATTGAACTTTTCTTTTTTTTCAGGCGCATAGGCCCTGCAACACCATCTCTGTAACTCATACTATAAGATTATTTTTTCAATAAAAAATAAAACAATAATTTCGAAACCGCGATTATTTATATGTAGTTTCACTTCAAGCCAATTATCACTCCATGCCAATATCAGACGAAATACTCTGCATGCAATGCGAAATGAACTGGAGAATGAATAACAAGTATAGGATTTTCCCGCACTACTGAGGCATCATCCTACATCACGTGCTGGCGCGTGATTGGCTCCTTGCTGATAACACAACATCACATGCTGGTGCATGATTGGCAATCAATGTGTTAATATTTTCCAAAATTTTAGATATTAAGGATTAACTATACCAGTACAACAGAAGACCAAAAATTTTCACAACTTAGATCATCATTAGATTATTGAAAATCATTAGATTTTAGCTCAAGAAAAAACAGCCTAAGTAAAAACAAATTTTAAAAAATGACATATAACAGCAACTAGCTTCTTTTGGACATTTTGATAGAGTAATATGTATTTAATATATAATTTAATGTATCATAATAAAGCAAAATTAAAGATAAAAAGCATATAAAAATTATTTTTTTTACCTTTCTTGAACATCTATTTTACATTAATTTATTTTAAAACTAGGACATTTAAAATGTTTCAGTTTGAGCTCATTCGTCTCCCCTCCCCCCCCCCCCCAATAAGAAGCTTACCGAGTCATTATTTCCCAATCAGTTAAACAGTTTTACTGTTTCAAATAATTTTTCCAGTATTACTAGAAGGGAAATCTTTTTTTTTTTTTTTTTTTTAAATTCACTGCTTTGATTCAACAGAAAACTTCTACAGATTATTTATACTAGAAATAGTGGATAAAATTTTAACAGTTTTATGTCCTGACAATCAAGCTTCAACATAGTTTTAGCATGATAAGTTCTGTACATGATTTATTATTATTTAAGCACAGCCTGACTGCATACTTCTGAGTGACAAATTGTCTTGGCTTTTATTTGCAATAATAATCAGAGTACATACACACACACACACACATATATATTATATATTATAATATAATATATATATATATATATATATTATATATATTATATTTTTTATATATATATATATATATATAGTTCTGAACAACTCTTGCAGCAAATTAAAAAAGGAAGCATCCACAGATAATGAAAAGAGTAAAAGAACAACACTAATAAGAATGGAAATAACAAAATATTCTCTGATGGTGTCAATCAATACACTGCACGATGTACACATTGTCCTATAAATTGTAGCAGCTGCCAAGCAACACTGATATCACAACTAAAATTCCAGCACAAGGTAGATGACTTATATCACAGCTTGTCACCATTGTATCATAAATAACTATTGTTGCATGACCTGTCATCTATCATGCTTTCAGTAGCTTTGAAAGATGAACATATGCTAAACAAATAACACAAGGCTATGGATTAATATCCAGCAGTCTAGTGGGAGCTTTGAGCTCTCCGGGATGTTTAGTCCTAGCAGCTGAAAACTTCCTTCACAGATATGATGCACATGTATCACATTGCAGACTGTTTTTACTTTTATAGGAATATCTTGTTTCCTGATGGTGGTGGTTTAAATCAGCAGGGGAATGTAATATCCTTTCCAGGAACTTAGAATCCTTATTTGAGAGAACTAAGACTAGACGCCTGTCAAAAAGTGAAAATCAAATGAAATTTTCAAATCGGATGAGTATTTTTTCATAGCATCCAAATGTATTACTCACCAAAAAGTATAAATATTAGACAAAAAATACATTTTTCTATAAAAAAAGGTATAGTGAAATAATCAAAAGCTTAATTTGAAGAATAAGATAAAAAATAAACTTAAAGGCTGAGTTATACATCAAATACATGAATTCTGATTCCAAATGGCACATGAAAAGTCAAAAAAAGGAAAACACAGTTAGTAAATTCATAATTCAAATACTTTTATAGTCTGTTACTTTAAACTATTGGGTCGTTCAGAAAGTACTTTCTGTTTGTCCAAACAAAGGGCTTAAATCTATTTTTGTTACGGAAACTTCATACTTCAGACGCATAATCATTATGTATTTTGACAGCTGATATACCAAAGCTTGCTTGTGAAAAGTTCAATTGATTCTACATAGTAATATTTGCTTGGTGTCCTTTCAAATATCGAAAGTGAAAAGCAGCATTTTCAGCATATTTTACTTTTTTACTATCAAAAGATAAAAAAGCTGTTCAAGCAAAAATATATATATATACATATTATACGATGTATATGGAAAAGATGTAGTGAGAGATCACTAGAGCCAAAACTGGTTTGCAAAATTTCAATCTGGCAGTTAGAATCTGGCAGTTTTGACCTTGAAGATGAACCATGTTCTGGAAGGCCAGTTCAAGCTAATGAAGACACAATAAAGGCATTAACTGGTGCACATCAGCGAATAAGAACTCGTGAGATTGCTGAGCGATTTAATTTATTGAATTCGACCATTCATGATCATTTGAATTGCCTAGCTTTAATCTCAAAACGTGACATATGGGTTCCTAAGGTTCTTACAGAAACAAATCTGTGCCGTTGCATTCATATTTGTGATTTGCTTCTCGAAAATCAAGAAAATGATCCATTTTTGAAGTGCTTCATTACTGGGGACGAGAAATGTGTTGTTTACAACAATGTTAAATGCAAGAGATCATGGGGTAAAAAAAGATTTACCGGCTCAAAGCACTTCAAAAGCTGATATGCATAAAAAAAAGGTGATGCTACCTGTTTGGTGAGATTTTAAAGGAATCTTTTTTTTTTTTTTCTTTTAGCTTCAACCGAACAACACAATGATCAACTCTGAAGTGTACTGTCATCAGCTGGAAAAACTGAATGATTCACTTAAACAGAAAGAGGCCAGAATTGATCAATAGAGAAGGTGTAGTGTTCCGCCAAGAAAATGCAAGACCTCATACAAGTTTAGCAACTTGCCAAAAGGTTTTACAGCTAGGATGAGGCATACTGCCACATCCACCATATTCACCAGATCTGGCACCTTCTGATTATTATTTGTTCCAGTCTCTACGAAATGTTTTAGACGATAAAACCTTTACTTCAAATAAGGAGGTAAAAAATCCTCTGGATCAGTTTTTTGTCATCAAAAATAATAATAATAATAATAATAATAATAATAATAATAACGAGCATGATATCATGCTACTGCCAGAAAGATGGCAAAAGACCAGAACGGTCTAAAAACTGGACCAGAACAAACAATATATAATTCAATAATAAACTATAATAAAAATCTTCTTTCATTTTTCATAAAAAAAAAAAAAAAAAACCACGAAATTACTTTCCGACGATAAGCACTTCAAAGGACTTCCCCCCCCCTCATTTTGCATGTCATCATCAATGCACAGAACTTACTTTCCCTACCTTGTCTGAGACTATAGTTAAAAATCAGCCTTCATTCCTGCACTTTCTACAAATGGAAATGAAGTGGGGGGGGGGAATTAGTGGATATGACTAGAGCTGTCAATACCATAAGGCAAAGTGTGTGGAAGAAAATGACCTTGAAGCATCTGTTTCTAAAGTACAGTGTATGGGAGGATTCTCACTAACATCTCATTTAAGAATAAAATATTTTGCATAGATTATTAATAGAACGAGCTAGTCAGTTAAAATCAGGAATATTTTTATACTCAAATTCTTACACTTTTTTCTAGATGACCTTAACACTTCTCTTTTATGCAACAAAATATTCACGTCAGATTTATGCTAATTTTACTGAAATGCACCAATTTTTCAAGCACTAAAATTTGAAATGGTATTTATTCTTTTCAGCCAAAAGCAAATACAAACTTCTCATTTGATAACAACGAAAAAGTGTTTTCAAATATTTTTCAAATGATTACTACAGTACAAAGTCTGTAATCCGGACTCATCGGGACTTCGGCGATTCCAGATTAGGGGTTTTCCCGGATTATAGATCTTTAATTTAAATTTGGTAAGATGACATTCAGAAATTATACAATTAAAAATATGAAACCGTAATTTATGAAATAAAGAGCAATTATGATCTAAAGGATATCAAAGTTTACAAAAAAAAAAAGCTTAATATTTATTTGTTTACTTTGTTAAACATTTCTTTCAATGTAAGTTGTTTAAGTTGGTTTGTTTTTTGTGCCTAATACTTTCTTTTAATTCTATAAACAGACATAATTTCTTGTTCAGTTACAAAGTTCCACTGTTCAAGTCCTGTAATTGTTGTGTTCGCGAATACCGACTAACTTGTCAATAGAAATTTTTTTATTTTCAATAGCCTCTTTGTCACTTTCTTCACTATCGGAAGTGGTATTTTCTGGATCTAAAACCATACTACAGATTTCGCCGTCCGTTAATAGATGGATGATTGGGGCATTGCCATCGCAATGAAAAACTTCTGTTATCTCATCTTCATTTATTACCACTTCTCCACATTTCTTTACAAAATCCAATAACTGGAAAATTTACCTTTAGTTTGCGATGTCCGAAAACCTTCAAATTCGCGGCTATCATCATCATTGTTCTCACCATGAAATATGGTACCTGGCCATAAATTATGCCAAGCATTTTTTAATGTACTTGGAGCTTAATTTTTATGAAATAGCACTATAACTCTGCATACCATTCATTCATACAAAAAAAAGTTTGTGGCTTTGAGGTCCGGATTATAGATCATTCCAGATAATGGACGTCTGGATTACAAAATTTGTACTGTATATATTTTGCTCAGATCTGCATATCTCTCATTGCAATTAAATTTGTAGTGTTCCTCCTTTTTATTCTACTAAGCTAAGTGCTGAGGAACCTAGTGAACAGCTAAGCAAGTAATCGCTTAAATCCAAAAACAGAAATGTAAACTCAAGAAGGGTCAATTACCCTTTATTTTTCTCAAAATAAAGATATACAGTCGGCCCCTTTCTTAGGGCGTACAACAAAGCCTCCATTTCGGCTTAACTTAAAATGTAAGAAATAAGAAGTAACTCATGACTAAGTAAAGAGATTTAGCTGAAATTAACACAATTGTAACCTATTTGGCCCGCAATATTAAACTACCCAGCGAAGCTTTCAAAAGGCACATAATACAGCATAGCGTAATAACAGTTAGAGAAATGTAACCAAAAGACAAACATGCACTATTCAGAAAGCCTAACTCTCTCTCTCGAAGTCGGTAAAACTTTGACTTAAATACTTTCTACCACTCATTTGCATTTAATGAGATTCAAAAAAACTCTTCTCGTACGGAATTGTAAAGTGAAGCGAGAAGACATAGGAAAGGTTCATAAACTTAAAATAACTGTTATAAAATTAGGATATACCTTACAAATTAACTCACAGTTTTCTTTTTCGACCAATACAGAACAGCAGAACTCTGACAGATAGAAGCATAAATTAAAGTAATAGGATTATTTTTACAAATAATTACACTTCCCACCTTGAATGAAACAGATCAATGAAGAACTTCATTTAAAATATAAAATTATTACTTTTACATAAATGACACTTCCATGTATTAAAAACTATATATTTGCTGGAAGGAAAAGGTATTAAGGTCTACATTACAGACAGTATTTAGTCATTCTTACCACAACTTTCAGGTGATGTTGCTTGCTTTTTGTTATTTTCTGAAGAATTTTTGGCATTTATAATTACAATATTTAAACTGGAAATCCAACTTTCCATTTCTTTTTCATTTTCAGCTGCTAAAATGCATGATTTGTGACCATCTGCCATTTGCAACTCAAATCCTAACTTGCTGCGTTTAGAACTCTATAATAAAAGAAAAACTCCACTATTTATTATATAAACTAAAAAATTATAATAATGATTCCATTTTATTAACATTTTACAACTAAAGTAACAAAAATAAAAAAAAAATAAAAAATGTCTTAATGACTCTAACTCTAGTGAACATAAAATTTAAAATAAAGGAACAGAAAAGAAAACTGATACACCGGACACAACAGGTCCGTATGTATGCTCACTTATTTTTGCAGCATTAACAATAAACATTATCTGTTTGAGATCTGAAAAATTATATTCTCATTTGTTCTGTATTACAGATTTTTTAATATTGCAGGCAAGGATAATGTAAACTGCTTATGCAAAGCATTTAAGCTACTCATAAAACATTTAATGAATTACAAAAAATGTCCCATGCTTAAAGAATGCCAACAGCTCACAAATAATGTTGAAAGGCTGTCTCATCTCCCTTTTTTGGACTGCCCATCACAAACAAAGGTAATCTTGTTCCTACAGAATTTCATTAATGACATCTGGGATCCTGAAATAAAGAAAGCCCTGTGAATGGTGGATGTCAAGAATTTAAAAAGCACTTTAGTGAACATCGTGAAATTCGAGGGAGCCCAGCAAGCAACTTGTATAGATTATCACCCAATCACAGCTGCTCAAGTCCAGGAGCCAATGGATCAGGTGACTGCTCATCTAGATAATTTAACTAGGCAAGTGTTTGGAATTAAAGATGAAGGAGTTAAATCCATCCACCAAATCATAGCTCAAGATGATATCACCACACCAGTATGAATAGAATACCAGTAATATCAGCAACAACAGAATTTTTAATTCCTGCATTCATAGCTCAAAATAGAAATTTCCATTAGCTCAAAAGGAGTACTAGTAGCCTCGGCACTCATCGACCTATTGAGGACCGTTATCTGGAAAGGTTGCCAATGTAACTGATAAGTCATTACGAAAAGTGAAGTGGTTGCAGCATGTAATCCAGTGACGAAATATTAACCTTCGTTAAACGAAATATTAACATTGATAAGTTATATTAATTAATATAACTTGCGTTAAACAAAATATTAACCTTCCACCATCTTTGCAGAGCCTAGCATCACAGTTATCGCACAATGCACAACTAAGCCATGAAGAGAGAAATGCTGCAGAATGTTTCATTCAAGAATTTCATGATGTTTTTTCCCACTCACCTTCTGACAGGGATTGAACCAGTTTGACACAGCACAGAATAGATACAGGAGATCATCCACCAATCAAGCAGCATCCAAGACATCTACTGATTTCTAAACAGGAACAGGTAGGATAAGTTCTAAAGGGCATGCAAGAAAGTGATGTTATAGAGCCTTCAGGAAGCGCTTGGACAGCTCCCATCATCTTGGTCAGATAGGAAAAAGGTTCAACTTAATTTTGCATTGACTATTGCTGCTTAAATGATGTCAAAAGGAAATACAGCTATGCTGTTCCTATAATTGATGATATTCTGAGCACTCTTTCTTGAAGCAACTGGTTTTTTGACACTTGGTTTAAAGAGTAGATATTGGCAGGCACAGATGACTGCATTTATCACCAGACAAGGACTTTGTAAGTTCAAAGTGATGCCATTAGGATTATGTAATGCACCAGCAATATTCGAATGCCTAATACCTCATGAAGAACGGGCTGAGAGGTCTTTCCTATGAATCCTCTCTGATATATCTGGATGACATCATTTTCATCAGGAAGAATTTCCAAGAGCACTTTGAAAATTGGGAACTCGCTTCTGATATTAAAGGAAGCCAATCTAAAACTAAGTTCTCCCAAATGTAAATTGTTCAGACAGGAAGCGACTTGGATATGTTACCTTTGCTGAAAGTTCATGTTTGGATCTAGAAAAAGTGTTGGTAGTTATTAACATTGGAAACGCCCCAAAAACATGCAACAGCTGAGAACTTTCCTGGGCTTTTGAACAACTATAGGAAATTTGTGAAGGCCTTTTCTTCAATCTCAACACTCCTTCACAGACTGACAAATAACAAAAAATGTCCTTGTGGACAAAGGAATGTGAGGATGCATTTAAAAACCTGAAGGAAGCTTTAACATCTGCGACAATCCTAACATATTCTCAGCTTGACAAACAAATTGTTCTTGACATAGATTCGAGACATGAGGTGGTGTGGTGGTGTATTTAATTATGGCAAAGCACACTAGGGCTATCTGCCTAAGGGGAGGGATGCCTTTCATGGAGGACTTTCTAAGGGAAACTGGCTCGTATACACGTTACACATGGGGAAAACCCCGAAAACGCCCATGCAGCCAGCCCGTTCGCGGGATTCGAACCTCGGACCGAACTACCAGTGTTCAGCGACTTAACCGCTCGGCCGCTGGTGGGCCTATTCGAGACATGAGAGTGTCAGAACTGTTTTGTCCCAAGAAATAAATGGTCAAAAGCATGTCGTAGCATACTGGAGAAAATGTCTATCTAAAACAGGAGAGGAATTATTACGTCACCAGAAAAGAGGTATTCATCACAGTTAAGGCTGTGGAAAATTCTATCATTATCTCTATGCTAGAAAATTCCTGCTCTGGACAGATTGTTGACCTGGCATTTAAATTAAAAAAATCCTGAAGGACCAATAGCCAAATGGATACACAGACTCCAGGAATATGACATCACTATCCATCATTGGAAGAGATTATGAAATGGAAACCTTAATGCTCTGTCTAGAAACTGCCCAGAAAGCTGCTGATATTGTTCCAGGATCGAAGCAAATTCGCAAATTAATCAGGTGGCATGTAAATTACAACTTCAACATCATCTAACCCAGACCCATGAGGTGACGAAGAAGTCAGAAAAGACCAGTAAGGAAAAAAAATGGCAACATTAAACCCATCCATTGTCTTAATGGAGTCTTCAAATAGGGAAATGTCTAGCAAGACATTTCAGTCTATAGTCCTATGACACAACAATACTGGGATCTCTGGGACTCACTCAATATTCAAAACAGTATCATGTTCCGGAAGCTCAAATTGGATGAAAGGCATTCCAATGGCAGCTGATACTTCCAAAATCCCGGATCCCAAACATCCTTAAATAACTACATAGCTTCTACTAAGGGCTGACGTGCAAAAGTGGTGCTAATCTTGTGATAACTGTGAGAGCTAGAAAGAACTGGAGAAACGTAGCTGAGGAAAGCTGCAACATTACAATGTAGCAGCATGATTTGAACACATAGCCATTAACATCCTGGGACCTCTGCTACAAACTGCTGATGACAACAAATACATCCCCGTTGTCATTGATTACTTCACAAAGTGGCCTGAAGCTTAATCTATCCCTGGTGAAAAGGTTGTCATGGTAGTAGAGGTAATGATACAGCACTGGATTTCCAGGTTTGGAGTTCAATCAAAAGGAAGGAATTTTACCTTGGCTGTAATTAAAGAACTCTCTAGATTACTCGGTATAGCAAAAACCCCAATCAAATGGCATGATAGAAACGTTCAATTGAACCATCCCTAACAATGGATAATCCAGATGCTCTTTGGTTGTTACCGTCATCTACCCTGTGATCTCTTCTTTGGATGCCTTCCAGATATGCCTTCATCGACTGAGAAGTATATCCAAGATCTCCAGGCACAGTTTGAAGTGATGCATGTGCCTGAGGACAAGCTAACTTTCTGACAGAGAAATGAAGACTCGACATGACATGAGAGCTACACAGCATTGATTCGATAAAGGTGGCAAGATGTGATTATGGAATACAATTCGCTGGAAAGGACTTTCTCCTAAACTACAGTCTCCCTGGGACAGTCCTTACACAACAACAAACATCGTAATTCAGAATTCTAAGCCTAAAGTCAGTCATTACAATAGGCTAGCCTCTTACTGTGGTCATAGTACATAGTCCCCATAGTGCATATAATGTAAATAGTATACTAAGTACATAGTTCTATTTGCATACAAAATCTGTAAATTCATGCATTTATTTATTTATTTAGTGATTGATTTTTCATTTATAGATACTATTGTTTTAGTAGCGTACTCACTTTTCTTAATTGTAAGTATGGCTTCCTGTCATGCAATGCCCAATACGGTCAATCCTTGGGAAGGGAGCAATAGTACGAATTTTATATATATGTAAATAATTTTAGTAAAATTATATGTAAAATTGTTGTACATTTTGTATAATGTAACATGAAAATCTGAAGAAGCAAAGCTTTGCCAGAAAAATAAGAATACAGGGCAAGTTTATTTACCATTGAGTAAATGGCTATCTCACTGAATTGGCGACATATCACCAAGCTGCAATGCTTCTGGTGACTAATTTTGTTGCCAAATTTTGCTAAGAATTGCAAAAAGTGGCCACTCTTAGCGATTATTTGGTGACATTTTGGTCCAGTCCATGTATAACTGTAATTGGTATTGTGATTGAATAAATGTAATTAATCAATAAATGTAACTGTAACCAGCCCTCCTATGCCTTCCAGTAATTTTGAAAAGTAAAAAGTATCTCTTGGCAGTGGGGGAAAACTATATGAGATTGGACAGAGCATCAGTTTCTGAATTGTTTAGTTCAGCGCGAGTTTGATTGTGATATCTCTGTGTTAGTTTCACTCTTTAGATGCACTTTGCATTGCATTGTCTTAAACATTCTTAGTAGCAGGAAGTGTAACAGCTGATTGTGTTCTCTGATACTGTGAAAAGCTGTATGAGTAGTTTCGTGGAAAGTTCCAGAACTGTGTAGTGTTTCTTTGGTAAAACACATTTTATACAGCTATCATCAATTCCAATATTTATTAAATTATTTCTCAAGTAACGCATGGTGAGAATTTGGTGGCAACATTTGAAAAATAATAAGCACCAAAAGTGAAGTTTAAATGAGGTCTGGTGCTAAAAAAATCCCAAAGACTAGGACAACTTTAAAACTGAGCTGATGATGCTAGATCAGAATCAAGATGATGCAAGAAGAAAAGCTGTCGTCTCTTTGGGCCTCAAACAACAGTTCATAGGTTGCATAAGGAATGATGAAATA